TTTAATACCTCTCAAAATAATTACAAGAAATAAAGCACAGAAAATACAATGAATAAAGTCACTAAAATAGGGGATTGCTCAGGGAAGTGTGCATTGGTGATAACTCACAGTTCCAGGATGTATTAATGAACGACAATCAATGGCTTCTGCAACACAACAACGAAGAAATACAGAAGTCTTGCTTGCAGAGGAACGCTGGTATTCTGGAGGGCACCACTGGAAGCAGGAGATCGCAGAGCAGTTCATACAAGTCTCACATAATGATGGTTGTAGCCTGTATCACTTGTCAAACCATTCGTAGCAGAACACACAGGAAAGCAAGTTGAAATGACGGACACCAAGTTGAAATGATGGACACCAAACTGTCCCGAGTCTGTCCAATTTATAGGCAGTGTTATTCAAATAACAGCACACCTGGTAGATTCCAATTCTCCATCCAAAGTTGCAAACACCCTTTGTTATGTAAATTAAAAGCACACCTGTTAGAACCCACTGTCCTTCCAGAGTTGAAAACAAGTCAATCACCTTCATGACAGTTATCACAATTCACACCGTTCCTTCCCATGATTCCATGCACACTTCCATTTGCAGGGTTTGAGGTAATATGACAAAAACATAAAATAAAGGATGCTTACACAAGTATACCAGCAAATACTATACCATTCTGCCAATTTCCTGCCAATTGGATATGTGAATGGTCATTAAATTTGCGACGAGCTGACCGTATTCTGTCAACGACCCCGGCTGCCATTATGAAGTGATCCGGTGATCAATATTGGATCAGAAATTGTACAGTAATTTGGTTAGTAGTTTCAACCATGACAAATCGCAATAGTCAGTAAAACAAGAAATTGAGAGAGAAAAATGAAAGTTGGTAATAACAAAAAACTCTATGTCGTGTTTTGTTTTCTAAACCCGTTATTTTATTCAACTATATAACTGAGGTGGTATAGTATTCCTACATCAATATCTGATGGCGTGAGAAATAAATCGATTGGCTCTTTTATTGCATGCATGAATCTCTCAAAAGGGGTTCTAATCCCAACTGTTTAACGTTTTTAAATGGTTCCATGTGTTGTCGACGTTTTGCCATACGCATTTTTTTGCGATTGGTCGATGGAAAATCGAAAGTCGATGGAAAATAAACTTAATATTAAATACGTCCAGTTATCTAAAGTGTGGTGTTGACAACTTATACAAATTTGTAACCGGGTCGGGGTTTTGATGGTTTAGAATTCATTATGCATTTCTGTCTACAACAATATCAATATCAATAATAACAACAACAATATCTACGTATATAAACAAGCACTACAAGTATTGAAACACGACATACCTAAGCAATGAGTGAAATTGACTTGTCTGCTTGAATAAGTCGTCGGCTCATCTTGGCAACAAGTTGCGACAAGTTGCTAAGCGACACGTTGCTTCAAATTCACAACATGATATTATTTTATTTCAGCGTAACTTCTCGCACCCGCCGACTTGTAAGTGCAAAAAATTGCTAAAAAAAAACTTATTTTTATCTTCATTTTTTTCCACCCGCCGCATAACAAACCCAAGTTGCATTTTCGTGGGAGTATCATGATCTAATTACCGAAGTCTCGCACAAATGAGAAACAAGGTTATACATGGAATGACATTTTATTTCATTTCTTCTCACCGATCAATGATCTCACTTACAATTATTTGAGAATCATACACATATAATGGAAAAAAAGAATAAAAGAAATTGCCTTATAAAAACTCGAGAAACAGGGAATAAAAAAAGTCTGGCTTAACCGCTTATATTGGGAAAAAGGCTATCCATTAAAGAACAAATACAGATATGGTTATCATAATATCAAATATCGAGACCAAGGTGTACAAAGTTATTAATCAAGTCTTAGCTATCTTAGTTAAAATATCAAATAAATCTATGTAGGAGTGCTATATTCTCGAGCAGAAATCGCATATTAATTTGGTTCGGCTAAGAGGAAAGTTGCCAAAGTGACAGCACATCTATAGTTAACGATGCATGATGCATGCCAAATTTAAGTTTCAGATAGCTGGCTGAGTTTTTGCATTTGTATTCTCATCTTGCGAATGTGACAAAAAGATTGTTGATATGTAATTTGTCGACATTCTGGCACACGTGGTACACTTTTTTTTAATTGCATGTAGAATAGAATAATTTCTTTTAATAAACTGAAAGTGTCTCCATATTCATTCGTTGCTGGGTTAACACTATGTATCGGAGTTCACCATGCCATTTAAGTCGCATTGTTTCTAATCAAATCGCCGCAAATCGAAAACTTATTTCTGAAAGCATTATTTTGCCTGGAAAAAAAATTGCAAAACTGCGTCTCTCGTAAAATTCACTATACTTCTATGCTGTTTTGACTTAATCGTTTTAAACTCATGGTACATGGAAGCGCCCTCTAGTAGCGAAAGACATTTGTGGCATATTGTTACAATACAAAACGTTGTATTCTAAATGAACGACTAAATATTGTAGTGTATTTTTAAAACATTGTGTCATTTTGACGTCGCAGAAGTAGGTTGTAACTATTGAAAACGTTAATTCATAATTTTAACTCTGTTCAATATTATATGTAATGAATAGCTACCTAACAACTAATGTAAACATGTAAAGCAATACAATGCACACTGTAAGCCTGTGTATGTTTTTTTCCAAATTCCCATTTGAACCAAAGGCAAAGTAAACAATTTTTCAAACTATAATATATTAAAAAAACATGTTGAATTCTCTTCAGATTATTTCTCATCCATTGTGATCCCTCTGAAACCAAATGTTATTTCCGTGTATACATTTAAATTGCGATCAAATTACGTGTTCATATGACGCGGACCAGCGCGTGCCAAAAATATCGCATTTTGATTTGCGTTAAAAGTTCACTAGACCGTTGGCGGCGCTGTTACAGACTCTTGCAAAGTGTGATACTTTAGGCCGAGAGTTGTCTGTGCGTCCTCAAAACGCATACGATCGGTCGGCTGCTCTATTCATGACAGTAGCGTCGACTGCAGTCTTTTATCTGCATTTGCTTCATCGATTTTGTTTCCTGGATGATGGTTAATATATCGAATAAAGAACTTACAAGATGAGTATTAACGTTATAGTCTGTGTATGCCGTGAGGGTGAACATGTTTTAATGCCAAAAACGTTGACCTCTGAATTTGGATCAGACATTTACTGACTTGTTTCAAACAATGCATTCAAAATGACAGTCGATATTCTAAAATTAATGAAAAATCCATAGAAAATATCTGTAATTCGTAATATACAGAACAATGTTACTGTGAACCAGGTACAGGAGTTTTGGTTTGTGATGAATTTAATATGAAGTGCGTTACTTTCACTGTGTTGCACACAACCTACCCAAATGTGAGCACAGACCCTGGAGTTATATTTGAAGTGGCAAACCAGACGTACAGTTGCTACAGTTTGTGATTGCCTGTAGTATATTGATACTCACCATGAAAGTTTCAAAACCGCTCTTGTCCTATTGCTGATGCATTCACCCAATTTCATGGATACAATCAGTGGAAAATTCAAAGGCATAAACAAACTTCTATTTGTGGATAACGTTTAGAACGAATTAGCCAAGACATTGTATGCAATTTTTATCCAATTTCTTTCAAACTTATATATAACGTATATTTGCCAGTTTCGGATCTCGATTATGGTACATGTTCTATATATTTTTTTCGAGATATTCATTAAATTTCATCTAAAATAGTTTTATTCTCGTGGTAACTCAAAAAAATTGTTGTATGATCATCTTCAATTTTGGGAACATATCAATTTTGGTGTAACGAGCAAATTCAATTTTTAATTTTGCATACTTAAATTTAATAGGCCAGCGTGCTAATTCTTACTTAGATAAATATTACTAAATTCTGACTCATTTTCAAAATTTAATATTGAGAATATTTGAATATTTCAAAGGCACATAATTACATGTACCTTCAGTGCCTGTTCAGGTTATGCGATAAATAATTCTTTATTATCCATGCACATGTTTTTTCATTCAGATGAATCGTCGTTATTTATTTAAGAAAAAATCAAATGTGAGAAAGTTCATAATTTATGCTGGCCAAAAATCAACTGAACGGAAAACATTTACTCTTACAAAGAGAACTAAAACACAGTTACAAGTTGCGGATGTTTTTCTTGAAGCAAGTACTGTCCCTCCTGATCATCATTGTGAGTATTTATTCACCTCCATTTTAGCAAGTTTATGTCTTGCATGTGGGCTATAAACACATACATTGTATGCTGGAATTAGTCACTAAGATTGAAATGTCATCCCTTATAAAAATATAAGGGTTCCTGCATAGTGTACCTGCTCAGCACCAGATAGCTATCGGGAACCTTCCAGATAGGTGTCTTTTTCGCATGCAAATTAGCTATGCGGAAAAGTATCCGGAAGGTTCCTGCTTTATGCAGCAAACCATTTTAAAAAGGGACTATGCAAGAAAGAATCGGGAAGGTTTCAGCTTTATGCAGCAAATTATTTTGAATAGGGACTATGCGAGAACGTATCGGGAAGGTTTCAGCTTTATGCAGCAAATCATTTTGATGAAAGGACTATGCAAGAAAGCATCGGGAAGGTTTCAGCTTTATGCAGCAATGAGTTTTTATAAAAGGACTATGCAGAAAGTACTGGGAATTTTACATTCTGACATCGTCAAAATGCATCCAGCTGTATACTGGGGTTTGGTGAACAACAAATTAACTACATGATAAATATATTGCCAAAAAAATATTTTATTGAAAAAGACCAGTCAGTCACTAAATAAAAAAAAAGGCACTAATTGGTCTCCTGTGTGTTGTTTCCTCTCATCAGGGATACCAATGAAAGTGTAGCTTTTTAATGAAAATCACAGCTTTGACACCGTGCAGCATAGCTTGGTCAGGACAAGCTTAGCTGCAGGAATGAAATCCGCTAGTTTTGACATCAAGAACTCAAGCTTTGAACATATTTTGATGTTGAGGGCGTGAACAACATGGCTGCCTCCAAAAGCAGTGTTAGCGACGGTGAGTATTTTACCCGTTTTCTCAACAAAATCACCAAGTTATGCTGTGTAATATGCCGCGATCAGTGAGGTTCAGGTTCAATTTCATTTCTATAAAGTTTCAGCCACCATTTTACGAAACTTGCAGAGAAATCTCAATTCCAATTTTCGAAGCAAGCAGGCTAGCAGGACGTCCTATTCATGTAATGTTATACATGGCCGTTGTTCATGCATCTGATATACAGTCCGTCCGGCTTAAAGTTGACTGGTGGATAAATTCTGTCAAGCTCTGTGTTTACTTAATGCTCTGATTTTTTTTTATTCCATGCCAACTTTGCATGTATTTCAGTACATTTGTACTATTTTTTACTATTCCAGTGTTGAGACTATGAAAAAGGACAGGGGTGTGTTTCATGTTACTTACATGTTTGACTGTGATAGCTAATAGAATTTCAAAGTTTGTACAAAATGTGCTTCAATACTTTGTGGAAAGGATGTTTTAAAGTTTACAGCTACATTCAAATAATTGAGTCATATAATTTTTTTTTTCTGATGTTTATTTTCTAGGATCACCCATTCGACAAGCCAGATAGACAATGCACGTCCTGACACATATTACAGGGACTCACAAAGTCACATGAACCAGGCAAGGGGGTTACTGGAGTCAGAGGATTCCATAAAGTCAATGAAGAAAGGCTCAGTGGACTTGTGAGACTGGGAAAGAGTACAAAAACAAATTTGTGAAGTGCAAATTCTCAGTCAACTGTTGATGTCAGCATGTCTGTACAGAAAAATAATGCAATTAAAATGCTGAATTATTTTAACAGGAAAAAATTAAAATTTATTAAAATATATGAAAACAGTACACAAATGTAATAGAAAATACACATGATGTTCATAAACTGTAAATAACAATGAACTTTATAGGACTACTTAACCTGATAAAAACCTGCTAAATTTTTCAAGCACAAGTGATATCGATGGTAACTTGCAATATCTTACACCAAGAAAATAAAGAAGTTTGTTTCTCATTTGCGGCTTTTTATTTTTTTTCTAATTTTTTTTATTCTTCAGCCAAAAAGAACATTCAAAGAGCAACAGAATGTACACAGATAAATTCAAAGCAGTGCTGCTGGATGGGACTCTTGTATAGCAAAAGTTATGCAGTTTTACTCTGCACTTGTGTGCAAATAAGCATAACAGATCCTCTAGACACATGTGTCATTCAGAAATGTACACTGCACATTCCTACAGTTACTCAAATTTTCTACCATGTGCACTGCATTATTGTCACTTATTTTGGTGGGCTTCTACTTCAAACGGTTCACGCAGCAGGTCGGAATTGACGAGTGTGAGGAGGAGAAACAAACTTATTTTTTTCTTGGCCTTAAATCCTTCATGTCTGTGTAAAGTAATGCCTTGTCATATTATTGACATGCTGGGACTAGTACTCTGAAAGCTTGTCCTTGTTGAAAGCTACAAAAAGGATGCACTAAAAAAACAATTACAAAAGTGTGCAACAACAATAAAGTAAAACAAGCATATTCCAGCTTTTTTTTACCATCTACTAAAAGTATGTAACAGCATTTAATA